TCTATAATTATTATCATTGTTATAATTATTACTTAATATTAATTGCATTTATATAGCGCATATCCATGCTCAAGAGCTTGCTCTATGCGCTTTACAACTATTATTACCCCAGCAGACCCTCTGAGAACACTCAGAAACATTCTCGGCTTCCGCAGAAGCATACGGTGCAAGCTGCGAATTTCACGCACTCAAACACTATCAAACTGACAAAATCGTTCACTGTCTATAGCCGGGTACCCATTTCCACCTGGGTGAAGTGAGGAAAATTTGTGCAAAGTGCCTTTCCCAAGGACACAACGTCGGGCCCTTGACGGGATTCGAACCCTCGACTTTACGGTTACAAGTCCGAGAGCCTAACCACTAGGCCACCGACGCCACTACTTGTTCTATATTACAATGGCACTGTTGAGACATCCGCCTCTATAAGACACTCACTTTTCTCCTTGACAATGAGTGGCCGTCTTGGACAATTTCAACAGTAATGATATCAATAATAATTAATAATAATATCATAACAATTACAACAAACCTAGTTACAACAACAACAATTGTAAAAACAATAACAAATATATTGCATTTACAAGGTCCGCATCCCTAACAGAAAGTAAGCTCTTTGTTCTCTACAATTTATCATTACCCCCGACAGACCCTACCACATTCCATAACAGTCTCAACTTCTTGGGAAGCATACAGTGCTAGCTGCCATTATACAGGCGCTCAATCACTGACACACAGACAACTTCAGCCAGGCCCCCATTCCCACCGGGGTGAAGTGAGGAACACTGTGTGTAGATCTATCGTCCTTATTAAATCTCTCCTCCTTTTCTTTGTATTTTACTCTCTGATAACACCTCTATATTTGGCTCTTGTTTGACCTGTTTCTGCTGCAAGTGCCGTAAAACTCTTCCCAGGGCTAAACTGAGAGGAAACTGTGTACAGTGTCTTTCCCAAGGACACAATGATGAGTCACGAGTGAGGAATTCAGACCCACGACCTTATGGTAGCCAGTCCATCAGCATGACTAACTTCATATCTCACTGTGTTGTCTTTTCTGAAAGAAATGAAGTATTTCTCCAGGCTCCATGTCGTATAACAGGACGCTTTAGATCGAAGCCCTGAGGGTAAAATATCTGTACATAATATATATATAAGAAATAAATATATCATCATGGTGAAATCATCCTCGTCAAAGTAATGAAATGGAAGAAACCGGCATTTTTCTGTTCGTTTGGCAATTTGGAAGTTTTTGTTTTTCTGCTGAACGTCTTTTGAGGTCATTCAAAAACACATCTCTGGTGAAAATGGTGAAATGGTATGGGTTTTACGCCCCTATCAACACTATTAGGTTATTTAAGGGGCGGGACCTCCCAGTTTAACGTCCGTCTCCGATAGGACAGAGCCAAGTGGGAAGTTCGTGTAAAGTGCCTTTCCCAAGGACACAACGTCGGACCGAGCTGAGGCTCGAACCCCCGAACCCGCAATCTCACGATTACGAGTCCGGTAGCCTAACCACTAGGCTACCAACGCCACTAAACACATCTCTGTGTGGATTTACTTTTTTTTAAATGTCGCTTGAAAGCAAAAAAAGTGTAATTTTGCAGTTTCCAAGAACTCTCACGTTTTGATAGTCACCTAACTTTGGTGGCTATTTTCTCGATAATTTACCTCCGAAATCAGGTGACCCCCCACCTCTTTGAATCACAAATATCTCAGCTTCTATTCAAGAGAGACGCGTATTTTTTCATCAAAAGTAAGACAAATGAACAAGCTTTAAGATGATACCCAGTAACTCCATATGCCCCAAAATTGACGAGCGCCTGATTCCACTGCGTCGCGACACATATGCCAAATTATGGTCAGTTGTACACCGCGTCGCGACACATATGCCAAATTATGGTCAGTTGTACACTTACAGCAACACAAAGGAAGGTTTTCAAGGGACGTAACCAATTCAACTAACAAAGGATTCTGTACAGCTTCAGACAGGGAACTCTCTCTACCATCAGAATCAAGACTTACAGCACCCCTCCCACATACACAAACACAGAGATATAATCTTTTTTTTTATAGTAGAGCGTTTTACGGCGTTCGCAACTGCATAAGGTCATATGAGCGCCAATATATTTGCATCACACATGCACGCACACACATACACACACACATACAGAAAAACACAGACACACTTTCCATCACAACCTTGCATCACTTTTGCACGCGCGCACGATGCATTCAAGCGCTCACGTACGCAGAGACACGCACACACAAACACACAGATATTTATGTTCCAGCAAAGGCTTGCTTCATACAAGCATGCATACACACACGCACAAACACACACACTGACACACACACACACACACACACACACAAAAACACACACAAACACACACAAAAACACACACCAAAAGATTCTTTAAAATATTCTCCAGATCATGACGCCCTTCGTTTTTTCAGTTTTGAGACAGTTTTTCTGCAAAAAGCTAAATTTCTTTATTTCGCTGATCGCTTTTGTAGGTCGACGAGTCCGTCTCTGTAATTTTGGAAAATCCGTCAGGTTTGTTTATTTCAAGTCGTACTTCCGTTCAATACTATCGTGCATTGTCGAGCAATACTGAGCACTATTTTAAGGTGCGACCCGAATAGATCTAGCCTCATGTTTTCTTTTTTTACTTGGTGCTAAATTCGACTGTGATCCTTTCGTTTGATGCCCATCATCGCTTTTTCTGGACTCCTTTGTCAAATTCTTTTTCTTGCTACTGGGAACAATCAACACGCTTTTGTACAACCACGAAAGCGGAATAGAGAATCAATCTATGCATCTATTATATATTTGGCAACTTGGAAACACATGTGTCACTTTTCTCTCAAGATTTATTGCTCCATTCCAGTAGAATGTAAATATAGTTGACCAATGATATTCAGTTGATGTTAATGCGCCGATCATTCCTTTCATCGAAAGGGGGCCCAGCTAGTATATTATAATTAGGTATGTATCTATGCCATTGTAAACCAAATTTACACAGATGGATCAAGAAACGTGGTAACTATTTACCCATTCATTTATTTGTTATTTTTTAGATTTGATTTATTTATATATTTATTTATTTATTTGTTCATTCATTCACTTATCTTTGTATTCATTTATTACATTTTAAAAATGTATTTACATGTTTATATATTCATTTGTTTATACTTCATTTATTAAATAATTAGAGAATTAATTACTTCGTTTATTAATTTATTTATATATTTACCTGCATGTTTGCAACAGTTGACCCCATACAGGTGACTGTCTAGAGAGGAGATCACACCTCGGCCGTTGTGGAGGGAAATCCCTGAGGACAAGGACATATAGAACACAGTCATTTCGTCCTCCATACACACTGAGGACATACAACACACAGTCATTTCATCCTCCATACAACACACAGTCATTTCATCCTCCATACACACTGAGGACATACAACACACAGTCATTTCATCCTCCATACACACCTAGGACATACAACACACAGTCATTTCATCCTCCATACACACCTAGGACATACAACACACAGTCATTTCATCCTCCATACACACCTAGGACATACAACACACAGTCATTTCATCCTCCATACACACCTAGGACATACAACACACAGTCATTTCATCCTCCATACACACCTAGGACATACAACACACAGTCATTTCATCCTCCATACACACCTAGGACATACAACACACAGTCATTTCATCCTCCATACACACCTAGGACATACAACACACAGTCATTTCATCCTCCATACACACCTAGGACATACAACACACAGTCATTTCATCCTCCATACACACCTAGGACATACAACACACAGTCATTTCATCTTCCATACACACCTAGGACATACAACACACAGTCATTTCATCCTCCATACACACCTAGGACATACAACACACAGCCATTTCATCCTCCATACACACCTAGGACATACAACACACAGTCATTTCATCCTCCATACACACCTAGGACATACAACACACAGTCATTTCATCCTCCATACACACCGAGGACATACAACACACAGTCATTTCATCCTCCATACACACCGAGGACATACAACACACAGTCATTTCATCCTCCTACACATCTAGGACATACAACACACAGTCATTTCATCCTCCATACAGACCTAGGACATACAACACACAGTCATTTCATCCTCGTACTCAGTGCACACGGAAAATCGAATTCAGTCGAAATGAGTTGGGGCTAGCCAGATTTTCTTCCATGGAGGGACAAAAGCTACCGTTTTGTCACAATAAGACCGATTCGACTCGCCACCTTGAAAACCAAACTTCGTTAATTGTTGATTTTGAAGGTCACAATCGAATTCAGTCGAACTGTGCCAAAATGGTAGATTTTGCTCCTAAATGAAGAAAAATCCGGCTGGCAACCAGTCGATTGCATGAATCGCTGTGGACTCTGCATAATAATACAACAGTATTTGGTGAAGACTGAAACAGGCTTAGGTCAGTATTGGGATGAGACTGAAAGAAGTTGACCTCAAATCAGGCTAAGACTGAAAATGGCCGCCACAGTTTAGTTATTTCCTTAGCTTGAGAGTCTGTAGAAACTGAAACTATAATTTTTTTTTTTCGCCTTTAATAACGTTTTTTTTAGTAAAATTCATACAGAAATGTGTTCTTTAATGGGCATGAAAGGTGTTGAGCCAAGAAAAAAAAATCGACAAAAAATTCAAAAGCTTGCTGGGAAAATGCCAGTTTCTTCACTTTGAATATTTTGACGAGCGCCTGATTTCACCACGCTGCCTCACATATTGTACTTCGAGTCTCGGGTCTACGCCGCGGATACCTTGCAGGGGGAGGCTACAGTCCAGACGTTCATGGGAGCAGAACGTTGCCGTACGTCCACTGTGACTGTACGCGTACATCAACACATAGTACTCCTTGCACGCCACCAGGGCTGTTGTGTCCTGGGAATAGAAAAGAACATAAATAATAATAATAATAATAATAATGATAATAATGATAATAATAATGATACTAATAATAATGAAAATAATAATAATAAAGATTATAAAAGGCATTCTCATACAGTGCTCCAAGTTATGACAAAACAAACTCTGAGCGCAGTACAATCAATTAACCCTTCCAGTGGTGACGACCAATATCAATGGACCATGAGTTTTGTTCTATGGCGTCACAGCTGATTAAAACGGCCACAATTAGAGTCTCTTTTTCCGTTTGTTTATCCTGTGTTTTATTCTGTCAAACATTTCAACTCCTTCACAAATGAGCTCTACTTCCTATTTAAAATCTACTTTCCGCAAATATATAGGTCTATGGCCTTTACTTGCTTGATTTGCCTGTTCTCAAGCATTTTTCAACATCATGAACAAGTGCCAGATCTGCGGCAGACATTGGCAATTATGGTTCTCCATTCTTCGACGTAAAGGTCTTGAACATCTAGCTCTCACTGGCAACATTGAAGGCAAACGAGGCAGGGGTAGGCCCAGAGCAACCTACTTGGAGAGCCTAGACAGATGGGTGACGGGGAAAGGTCAGGGTAATGTAGCTTTTTAAGAGCATCAGAGAAAAGTAATGAATGGAGAACCATAATTGCCAATGTCTGCCGCAGATCTGGCACTTGTTCATGATGTTGAAAAATGCTTGAGAACAGGCAAATCAAGCAAGCAAAGGCCATAGACCTATATATTTTCGGAAAGTAGATAGTAAATAGGAAGTAGAGCTCCATCCATAGGTACATCACCGTCTGCATCTCTATAAATTTCTGCAATAACCTGTAGACCTAGTCAGCCTTTGAGAAGCCATCGTGGCGAATGTAGACTGAACGCAAAACCTCAGAAAGACAGACTGACTTTGTCATTCGGACACAACACACGACACACCATCTCTCTTTGTTTCAGCTACTACATGCCAGTCCCGGGACTAATAGGACTAATAGCCAAAAAATAGGCATGATCGCATCGGCAAGTGGACAGAGAATACAGGGATGTAACTCTTGTTATTCAAAACTGAGTAGAAGCGAAGATATACGCGAAACAAAACAAGGAGTGTTTCAGGCGTACCAGGTAGGCCCACAGCGCACACGGGAGTGAATTGTTAGGGCGTATCAGGTACATCCATAGACCAGGCAAGGGGTTAACCATACAATTTCGACTGTATATGTATAACAAATTAAATCTGTATAGCACAGTTCCACTGGGAAAGTGGGTAGTTGGCGGGAGATGTCTCCAACTTTTCTTCACTTTCATAAAACATGTAAAGAACGTTTTAATATTGCTTTTACTTCTTTTTTTTTCCGAGAATGAAGAAAAACCTTATCAGTTATGTCTTTTTGTAAATTAAAAAAAAATATTGCAACAGACAAGAAAACAAGGCTATACAGTCACAAAGTAAACACACAACCTGGTCTACCCGAGACCAGTCGAGGCTGGACACTGGGAGGTCGTCGGCTCGTTCGTCGGAAAAAAGTTGATCCAGCTTCAGTTGACCGGGGTCATTCTCCTCCCAGCGGACGTCCAGCACATAGAGGGAGCCGTTCAGCTGACCAACGGCCAGTAAGCCTGGACACAGACACACAAGAAAACAGGTTTGTGGGGGGTAGAAGGGGGGGGGGGT